TCTACATACATTTGAAAACACATGAGACACCAGGCGCCGTGGTTCACGCTTGTAATCCCAGCAGTTTGGAAGGCCGAGGCAGGCTTATCACCTGAGGTCAGGAGTTCAAGACCAGCCTGGACAACATGGTGAAACCCCATCTCTACAAAAAATACAAAAATTAGCCAGGTGTGGTGATGCATGCCTCTAGTGCCAGCTACTCAGGAAGCTGAGGCACAAGAATCACTTGAACCCAGAAGGCAGAGGTTGCAGTGAGCCAAGATCATGCCACTGCCCTCCAGCTTGGGTGAGAGTAAGACTCCATCTCCAAAAAAGTTTCTGGGGGCTGCCAGCATTTCTTGGCTAGTGGCTGCAACATTTCAGTCTCTGCTTCTATCATATTAGCTTCTCCTCTTCTTTAGTCAAAACTTCTTTCCTCTTTCCTGATTTTCCAGCATTTTTTCTTTTATCATTTCCTCTCAGATTAAAGAACTTCCTTTAGCTATTCTTTTAGGATAGCTCTGCTGATGACAATTTCTCTTTCCATCACCTAACAATGTCTTGATTTTCTCCCATATTCCTGAAGGATATTTTCACTAGAAACAGAATTCTTGCTTGACAGTTATTTTCTTTCAGCACTTGAGAAATGTTACTTCCTTCTGGCCTCTATGGTTTCTAGTGAGAAATATGCTGTCATTCAAATCGTATTTTCCTTATAGCGTTTGTTGTATTTTCCTAATTGCTTGTTGAAGCATTTTTATGAGGGCTGCTTTAAAATCTTTGTCAGATAATTAGGATGTGTCTGTTATCTTGGTGTTGGTGTCTACTGATTACCTTTTCCATCCTAGTTGAGATTGTCTCTATAAGTAATTTTCAACTGAAATCTGAACATTTTGAGAATTAAGAGACTGGATCTTGTTTAAATTTTCCATTTTATACGGCTTTTCCTAATACTGCTCCATCAGAAGAAAGAGAGATACTACCTCATTACTGCCATATGGGGATGGAAGTTCAGGTTCCCAACTTGGCCTCTGTTGACACTCAAAAATGGCAGAGGCGACTCATTACTGCTGGGTAGCAGATGTGAGTTCTAGGTTCCCATTAGGCTTCCACTGATACTATCCTGACTGGGAAGAGGAGGCATGCCTTGTGTCTCCTCCCCACATGGTTTCCACTCATCGATACCTTCACATGCCTAGTGTTACTTGCACACAAAAAAACTAAAAAACAGAATCAAATAGGAAAAAATACAAATTTGGTATTATGACAGCTTTTCAGATTGTCTCTATTTTGTTACTTGTTACTATGCTTACAAACTTTTATTTATTAAAAAAACTTTATTGTTACTTATTTCAATATCTAGTCCTAGAGTGAGAAGATAACCTTATATACTAGAAAAAGGAAAATTGTTAACAGAGTGGAACTATATATTTGTAACCCAAACTTTTTCAAAGAAAAGATGTACATAGAAAGCAACAGCAATAATAATACATGTTTAAATAATCCAAAAATTACCTCACAAACATCCTTACTTCATGTTTGTTCATACTCCCTTTCTGGCTTAATTATTGGATGACTGTTCTAGATTTATCTGGAGAACAGCGAAGAAGGCAGACTCAAAATGTCATGAATTATAAACAAATACTGAAAAAATACTAAATTAGTGTTGCAAGAATGGTTCTGTATTATAAAATACATAAACCTCATACTAATAGCTCCAAGGAGGATACACACACATTTAAGTACTTCTCCTCTTTCTCTCTCTCTCTATACACATACATATATATAGAACATTTTAATTTACAAATACGAGTTTAATGGAATAATTTGAGTTTGATCAACTCTACCAAAAGCATGATGTTCTCCATACTCAATAAGAAATATGCTATACAAAAATATTCATTTTTTAAAAAGTTATGTAACAACTAAACAATGGGGAATTTTTTGTAGTTCCATATCATAAGATAAATCAACTGTTTTATATTTAAGAGAGACATAGAGTTTCCATGTTATGGAGATGACATGAAACTCCCATACTCCTAGCAAAAAACACTTCATTCTTTGGGTAACCACTACTTTCCACATTTCTAACCTACCATTATTCATCTAATTGCCCATTCCTCATTTAGTCAATGCATCCAGACTACAATTTCTTATAATCAGTTTAAGGAAACTATACTGCAGAATGTTGCAGGTCCTTTTGTATCACCACAGCATAAAAAAAATCAAGTACGTATGAATGCATACTTTTGACATTAAAATTAAAGTACTCCTTAAAACTATTAATGTTATGTAGGACTGATTTTGGAATATTAATGCTACAATTTAAAGTATAACATGTTTAAATATAAAGTTATCAAGTTATCCCAAGGTAAATGTTATGCGATAGAACAGAACTCAATTATTACTCTCTCCACAGAGTAACACCTCAAAAATGAATTTAAACAATTGTTTAAAAGGCATAAGCTACTTGAACAAAGGAAATGAGAGAAAACGCAATGACAAATCAGATCACTCCATAAGAACTGACTTAAATGCTAGAAAGTTGGCTCATACCGTGGGGAGGAGAAAGAAGGTTAGCAGGGACAGCAAAGAAGAAACCCATGAGACACTGCAGAACCTTCAACAGGCTCAGGAGTTGGCAGCACCAAGTACTTATGGAAGTGGAGGTGAAGGTATGGCTAAAAACAGATGACTTAGAGGAAAGCCTATTAAAAAAGCAATCAACATGCCAGATCCCCTCCTCATCATCAGAATGCTACAGGATTATCCTCTGGAAAAAGTAAAACAAAGTAGCTGAGCTAGAAAACCAGACACAGCTGAGAGTTTACAGTCTGAAAACAAGGGTGTTATCAGAAAGATTACTTAATGTCCATACATGTTCAACACTGCCACCTCCAGTCTTCTTCCCCAATTCAGCTCTCAGAACACTGGCAAGCAGGCTTAGATGGCAGGAGATTGAGAGTCTTTTCTGAAGGTCTGGCTATAGCCCCAAGAAAAAGATCTAAAGGTACTAACATTGGCTGTTACCTAATGAAATGGCCCCACATATCACTCCACATTGAAGTTCACTGTATGTAAGCATCAGTGATCCTCCTTTACCCTCACCTACCAATTTGGGATATTTTTAAATGGGCTTACAGTGTTTGATTACAGCATATGTTCAAGAAAATTTGTAAAAATTGTAACAATAAATTTAGAGGGAACCAAGTTTCACTATATATTTAACAAAACCAGCAATTTGGATCTTATTTAAAATGTGTGATTAGCCAAGTATGCTACGCTGAAACATCTCTGCATTTTATATTAAATAGGAAGTCTAAAACTACATTTAAATATTACTAGATACTAGTGATTTTTAAAACCACTTGAAAGAAGTGGCTCCTGCATTACAACATTTGGCAACAACATTTTGTGCTAAGTCAAATTTTTTTTTAATATATCCAATAAAAGAGGTAAATAATCAAAGATATTCACTAGAGTAGAATTAATTTGAGTTGTACATATTTTGAAAGTAAAATAACAACAACAACAACAACAGCAAACTGTACTTCTTCAAGCTAGGATTCAAATATTTCATTAGTTCACTAGCCTACAATAATTTATAACTTCTAACAATTATTTTCCTTTCTCACACAAAAGGAGTTATGATACCATTATCTGCATAAAACAATTTGGCTTTTCCTCTTTCCCAGTTTTCCATAATATATTTGGCTTCCAAAATCTGCTAAACTATAATGTAAACTATACTAGAAACACACCATATATTTTGGCAGAATTAATGAACTACTTGATCTCTTCATTTCTTACAGCACCTAAAATATGATATTCATGTACTCAATATGTTAAATTGAATAAAAATCTTCATCCACTTAAATTGTTTTCATCAAGCAGCTTGATTTCTTATAGAAATATAAAACATACACACTGTATTCCTAATTTCTTAAAATATTTTTGGTACTGCACTTTGCTCTAAGTTAAATCAGTTTTATATGTATGCATTTTTAAAAGGCATCCTGGAAATGTTCTAAAATAATTCTAAGAACTGAATGCCCATACTTTCCACCTTAAATTACCTACTGGCACTGGCATCCACTGCTAGGAAAACCCAAACTTTCACATCAAAAATACTTATATTCCTACTTTTGCCTGGTTGCAGATGCAATAAAACAATCTACCCTTTTGACTTTCACAGCATAAACTTTAAAATTACAAGGTATACAAGACTAAATTTCATCAAATGCCATCAAAACATCTCTTCTTTTGACATACTTATCAGCATGCTGCAAAGACCAATCGTCTCGTGTGCAGCGCTAACTTACAATTTTCACATTTTCTAATTAAGGCTCCCTGTAGCCCCTATTCAGTTGTCTGGCATTAAAAAAACAAAGTGTTTTCTTCCTTTCTTTCCTGGTCATTATCAGGTCTTGAAATAATTCAGCAACAATTTCACCCATGTTGTGCCTTTCACTCTCTTAAAGCATCAGCCACAAAAACAAATCCGTGAATCCAAAAGCTGGGCCAGATTATGAAGGAAAAAGAGCAGAAATTAAGGCTAGTAACAAAATCACCACAAAAACACAGCAGCAGAGAAGGCCAATTCTATCACAGGAAAATACGGCAACTGCTAAATATAAACCTCTGACTCCTCAAATTTATTTTCGTTATCTGAAAATGTCTTTCCTTTTAGCTGCAATTTATTGGCTTATTGTGGTCAGAATGATTCTTTCATGCTACAAAAGAGGTGTTGAAATCTTAGGCTGATTTTTTAAGTAAAAATAATTATTACTTTGTCCCAGTTTATTTCGAAGATAAAAGGTCTCAAAATCTGGAGCACGCAAGGAAATAAAATGATGGAAACACCATGATCCACAGATGGATACAACTATGAAAACACACGTGTTTAAGTTTAGAAACTAAAATCATTAAATGAAGGTATAAAACCTATTGGAATGTATCACAATAATTTACAAAAATTGCTCATGAGTTTTAAAATGATAATGAACATTTATCATGCTGACCTGGATCTCCTCCCAGATGTCTTCATCCAATAAAGTAGCTGCTCTATGGTGCTGCAAAGGGACTATCAGGCAGTGTCCCTCAGTAAGAGACCGTACGTTGGGTAAACATAAATAAACCTATGGGGGAGAAGTACAAAAGGTGAAATGTTACTGCTATTTATTCTCAGTTGTAACAGATGAACCCTTGGTAGAAAAAAAAAAGATGAATATTTAATGAAGAATACTTAAGAATTGCTTTTGTAAATGTTAATATTTTTAAAGATATTTAATATTTTTAAAGGCATCAGGATGGTTTTTAATAAACTGAAAATTTAGAGCATAGATCTTATACATCAGACAAGGATTAAGATTAGGCAAAGAAGAGCAGAATGAATGACACAATATCCTTAATCTGAAGGAGCTAGATATTTGAAAATCCTTGAAACAACACAATTTTCACAAAAACAAAAAGACACATGGCCTGGTAATGGTCTAACTGATGCCTGTTTATCAGGCCTTCCTTCTCTGATTAGCTGAGAAAAGAGAATAAACTGAGCTAAAAGGAAGAGAATATGACCTTGGAATGACCTTACTGCTATTTATTTACAAACATCTATTACCTAAAAACTAGTGCTATTTTTCCATTATATACAAACTGTCTTTTTTTTTTTTTAAAAAAAAAAAGGTTAATCGGTATGTATACAGAGAACAAAAGCATTACAAAGGGCTTGATCTTATTCTTATTTCTGTTATATTTTGCTGGGTTTTAGCTAGAAATATTTTGCAAAGCAGACATTGTTTATTTAATAGAATAACTCAAATGTTTAAAACTTTGCTGAGAACAAAGTACGAGTGCACATGGATATCTACCTAAAATTACAGTAACCTCACAAACATGTTCATGAAAAAAAAGAAAAAGAAATAAAGATTAAGGGCCATGGATATATCTGTAGACAACTTACAAGATTTAGAAAATAAAATATTTAAAGAAATGACTGAATTTTCTACATAATCACTGAGATAGAGAGCCAGGTCCAAGTGTCAACGATAGGTCAAATGAGCTGTAATAAAATTCATTTTTAAATGCATTATAAACATAAAAATCACCTAAATTGGTATCAAAATCAGTTTTTCAAAACAATAATAGAAACATAAAAGAGAAAATAAAATAACACCTAAATAAATTAGAACACACAAAAAGCAATACTTTTTTTATCTGACAGAGACAGCAGAGCTACGATGGACTGATCAATAATTACTGAGGGCCAATTACATGCCAGACAGTGTTCTACATGCTAGGGAATCAACAATGAGCAGGGACACAAATCCCTACCCATAAGGAGCTTATGGGGTGCTACAGATTGAATGTCTGTGTGCCTCCAAAATGTATACGTTAAACCTTAACACCCAAGGTGATAATATTTGGAGGTAGGGGACTTTGGAAGGTGATTAGGTCATGAGGACAGAGTCCTCCTGAATGGGATTAATTCCCTTATAAAGAGGCCCCAGGGAACGTGCTTGCCACTTCCACCACGTAATGACACAGCAATAAGATGGCTGTCTGTGAACCAGGATGTGGGACCTCACCAGACACTGAACCTGCTGGCACCTTGATCTTGGACTTCCCAGCCTCCAAAACTGGCTTCAATAAATTTCTGTTGCTGATAAGCCATCCAGTCTATGGAATTTTTTTATAGTAGCCCAAACTAAGACATGAAAGAAGAAAGACAAACAATGAAAATGTAAAGTAAAATGTATAATATGTCAGATGGTGATAAGGGGTACTAAAAAAATAAAGCAGAAAAAGGTACAGATCGTGTCTAGGGAGAAGTTAGGAAGCCCCCCTTTAAAGTTACCTACTAGGGTAACATTTGAGAAGGTATGTGAAGGAAGGAAGAGTAGACACAGGAAGAAACCCCCAGGCAAAGGGAAAAGCATGTGAGGAGGATGCATACCAAGTGTGTTCTCCAGATTGTCAGACAGCCAGTGTGGCTAAGCTGAGAGGATGAGAGGAAGACTGACAGACAGTGAGGTGACACAAAGAATTGGGCCTGCAGGCCTCATAGGCGACAATAAGGATTCTGGCTTTGATCTGAAAGTCAGATCTGACTAATGTTGACTTAAAGTCAAAAAGACCACTTGCTACTGCATAGAGAAAGGGCAAAGGAAAGAGGCAGAAAGACCCATTAGGAAACTATTACAGGAGTCCAGTAACAAATGATGACGACTTTAGCCAGGGTGGTAGAAATAAAGATTATGAAATGTGGTCAGAACAGGAATGTATTTTGAAATACAGCCAACAGAATTTAGAAATGGACAGTAAGGAGTGAGGGAAAGTAAAGGACTCAGTATTACTCCAAGGTCTAATGCAAGCAACTGGAGGATGAAAGTGACATTTACTAAAAAGAGGAAGACTAATCCCAGCACTTTGGGAGGCCGAGACGGGTGGATCACGAGGTCAGGAGATCGAGACCATCCTGGCTAACCCCGTGAAACCCCGTCTCTACTAAAAAAAAATAACAAAAAACTAGCCGGGCGATGTGGCGGACGCCTGTAGTCCCAGCTACTCGGGAGGCTGAGGCAGGAGAATGGCGTGAACCCGGGAGGCGGAGCTTGCAGTGAGCTGAGATCCGGCCACTGCACTCCAGCCTGGGCGACAGAGCAAGACTCCGTCTCAAAAAAAAAAAAAAAAAAGAGGAAGACTATGAGAAGGTTAGTGTTAGCTAAAGGTAAAGGTGGAGACGGGTATTAGAATTTCACCTAAGTTTGAGATGTTTATTAGATATCCAAGTGCAAAAGTAGGTTGGATACATGCACCTAGAATTGTAGGAGATATTTGGGTTAAAATGTGAATTTGCTAGTGGTCTAAAAACAGTAGTCATGAAATGAACAGAACACTTCAGACAAAGACATCTCTATTACAGCATTTTAAGAGAGTGTAAGCAAAAATTCTGAAAGTCTTCTGTAGTAGATTGCACAAATGCATCCAGTTATTCACTACTTCATATAACCCTTCACGATGTTACTCTGTAGCTCCTCCCATCAAGAGGTGGAGTTACAAACTGGCCTTATGACTCATGAAGGACATCACAGAACATGGTAGAAATGATGGTGGTCAGTTCCAAGTCTATGCCTCAAGAGGCCTTGTGTACTTCTGCTAATTCTGTTGGAACGAGCCTAGCTCCCATGTGAAGAAGCCTATGCTAGCCTACTGGAAGACGACAGACCATACAAAACAGAGTGATTTAAATGCTGTCTCAAGCCACTAAATTTTGGTGTAGTTTGTTTATGTATGAATGCTAGTATATCTCCTCTTCCCCCACTTAAAGGTGTAAATGGAAGACTAGATAATTCTCAGGTCTGATGTATAAAGTCTTTACACTCCTGAGGTCTGAGATCCAGTAAGGGTAATACCCACTTCAGACAGCTTGCAGTTCCCAGAATGAACCATGTGGTTGTGCACCTCAGTGTCTTTGCTTGTGTTGTCCTGTATTTCCTAAATACTGCAATGTATCCTATTCCACCATTAAAATGTAGCACAAGACATACTTCTTCCAGAAAGCCTTCCTTGATAACTCCGCAGTAACTTAAATATTCCTCCTTCGTGTTCTCATGACACTCCTGCATTTATATCACTGCATTAAAATTGATCTGGTTATGTCTGCCTGCTCCCCATAAAGCTGTAAGCAACTTGAGGAGGTTGTAGGCATATTTATATTTCTAGTACCTAGCACTAGAGGCTGACAAACACTAGATACTCAGTAAATACCTGGTAAATGAATGAATTACCAAGCAGTTTTTTGTTTCTTTTTCTAAATCAAATTAAAAGTAGATGACTAGAATCAGGCAAAAATATTAAAGAATGAACATAACTCTGATTTAAGTTATAACCATGTCGTTCATGTGAAAGTTGGGAAAGGAACTTAGAAAAATAAATATAAGTAATTAGTTCAGATGGATTTTTAAAAATTATTTAATTTTGAATGGGATTTTGACATTTATCTTTCTGTTAAGTATAAAGGAAAAGAGAAGAAAAAAAAGAAAATAAATCAAAAGAAGCCAGAATGGACACTGATTAATTAACCACCTCAACAACCTAAAGATATTAAAGACTAGGGGTATGTGTATATACGTGTATGTATACAGTAAACAACATAAGTAGGTATATGTATGTTTCCCAAACTATTCGTTCCAGAAACTAACATTCATTCATTCATTCACTGTCTTCTACTTTTCTCACTGACTCCACTCCTGCCTTCTTTCTGCTCCATCAATGCCAAGTTCATTTTCTCCTCAGGGTTTTTCACTGACGGTCCTTCCTGAAACATCATCCATTCCTCTCTTCATGTTACTTGTCCTTCCCATTTTATGCATCTTCACTAAAGTTCCTCAGAGAAGCCTTCCAGACTACCTTGTGAAAAAAATACCCCCATCATTTTCTCCCATTTCTTCACTTTACTTGCTTTATGACGATTAATTCTTTCAAATCAGGGCAATTATTACTTTATTTACTGCCTTATTTCCCCAGGCATAAGGTCCAAAAGTCTATCCGATTTTCAACTTTTCCCCAGTGACTAATTAGGGTATGGCATATATTAGGTATACAAAAATTATTTTTTATAATATTAGATAAGAATTAAATTATAATAGAATTAAATCAGTAAGTGTTTATTGGAATGAATTACTATTATGTACTACCACCAGGGCTAGATGCTTGGTATACAATGGAGACCAAAGTTACCTCTGTCTTCACGGCGCTTAAAAATTATTAGGGGAAAGACCCAATAAACAAGTAAAGCAAACAAAATAATAAACTTCTTCAAGTTACTCTATGAAGAAACAAAAAAGTTCTATGAGAATGTAAGCAAAGGATAATAAATACTTCTTACCTTAACACCTATTGCAACAATAAGATGCTTGGGAAATTGAGAGCTGTCAAAACAATACAGACATTTTTCCATTTGTGCAGCAAGACTCCGATGTTCGGCAATAGCCTTTTTCCGTTGGTTCTCTTCCTCTTCACCAAGACGTTCTCTCTCAGCTGCTTTGGAGACAAACATGTCATCCAGGGTGTAATAGTCTCCATCTGTTTTTCCCATAAACTGAAAAACCAAAATAACAGTAACAGAGAGTAGAAGGTCGTGATTAGGATTTTACTGTACTGTGGTATCCTAAATCAGTATCTGTAAGTTCTATGATAAAACTCTTACATTTAAAGGAAAAGAAAAAACATGACTGATATTTGTTTGATCTTCTAGTGTCAATCTATCATCATCATCACCACAGCTAAAATTTACTGAATACTTACTATATACAATTCTGTATGACTTGTTCATGTGGGGACCATTAGCATTTTCAAATAATAGATGAGGAAACTGAATCACAGAGGTTAAAACTGTAACTTTAAAAATTCACGTATACACTATATAGAATGTGAAACTTTTTTTTTTTTTTAAACCACATCTCCAGGTACCTTCTCCATACCTCCCCTAACATGAACTATGCACAGACTGAGGCTTTGAAAATACAAAAACACAAATACACAAATTTTATTTCCTTATTTTATGTACCTCCTTAGGTACTTAGAGAGTTCTATACTGTGTATAGAAGGAAGTTCAAACTCTTGAACTTGAAAGTCAACTAAATCATACATACAAAAAGTCATGATGGTTTAAAGCTTAGATTCCACAGTCAAAATGACCATGGTAAAGTTCTATCTCCTGTATGTATAATCTTGAACATATTATTTAATTTCTCTGTGCTCTCTCTATGCCTTATTTCCTCATTTTACAATGGTTATAACAATACTGCCTGAGTATCCCTTATCCAAAATGCTTGGGACCAGAAGAGTTTTAGACTTCCAATTTTTTCTGATTTTGGGATATTTGCATATATATATAATAGGGTATCATGGGGATGGGACGTAAGTCTAAAATAAAGTTCATGTATGTTTCCTATGTACCTTAAATGCATAGCCCTAAGGTAACTGTATATAATATTTTTAATATTTTTGTGCATGAAACAAAGTTCATGTATATTGAACTATCAGAAAGCAAAGATGTCATTATCTCAGCCATCCATAAGGAATTACAGCACATTTACATTTATGTATACCTGCTACATTGGCACATGATTGCACAGTTATTCTGTCCTTGGCATCCTTATTTCCTGACAGGCTGTCTCATCAGTTGTAGTAAGTGTCTTCCTGCATCAGCCCATGAGGTTTAATTCTACTAATTTTTCAATACTATTGTAAGAGTTAGCTGTCACTTCCATCAAATAAACTTCCTCCATCTTGCAAGCCCCTCCAATGTGTACTTGTACTGCCGTCCGTCTCAGGATGACTACACTGTATCATACTCATTAACTTGTCTTTTTTTTTTTCCATTCCACTGTGTTCTACTAAGTGTAAGAGACGTCCTAAAGTACTAAGTGTAATGTAAATTACTCAGTGTAATGGAAGTATTAAAGCGCTAAGTATTAAAAACAGAACAGGCCAGGCATGGTGGCTCACACCTGTAATCCCAGCACTTTGGGTGGCCGAGGTGGGTGGATCATGAAGTCCAGGAGTTCGAGACCAGCCTGACCAACAAGGTGAAACCCTGTCTTTACCAAAAATACAAAATTAGCTGGGTGTGGTGGTGCATGCCTATAATCCCAGCTACTCGGGAGGCTGAGGCAGGAGAACCGCTTGAACCAGGGAGGAGGAGGCTGCAGTGAGCCAAGATCGCACCATTGCACTCTAGACTAGGCAACAAGAGTGAAATTCCATCTCAAAAAACAAACAAACAAAAATAACAACAACAAAAAAACAAAACTACATGTTATCATCAAACATAAAGCAATAGCAAGATGCTTGGATGTTAGCATTTTAAATGATTTGAAGATGGAGCAGTTCTATACATGTCAAACAAAGTAGATTTCATAGCATATAGTATTATGAATGATAAAGGGTCACCTGATAAAGGAGTCATAACATCAAGAGGATACATTCTGTAGATTATATAAGTTGGAAAGAAAAATTTTAAGAGGACATAACAATCCAAAAGTTTATATACCTAATAACAGAGCTTCAAAATGTGTAAGAACAAACTTGACAGAACTGCCAAATAGATAAATTCCAACTGTAATCACAGATTTTAAATACCTCACTCTCTATAATTGGTAGCACAAACAGAAAAGCAATAGCTACGTAGAAGACTCGAACACACTATCAACCAACTTGACTTAATTGACATTAACAGAAATTACAGACAACAGCAGCAAAACATACGTTCTTCTCTTGTGTACATGGAACATCAACCAAGACAGATGACATTCTGGGTCATAACACAAGTCTCAATAAATTTAAAAAGATGCTAGTAACTTAAAGTATGTTCTCTGAACACAATGGAATAAAAATCAGTAACAGAAATATCTTTGGAAAACTGCCACATACTTGGTATTGTGCACTCCTAAATGACCCATGAATCAACAACAACAACAAAAAAGAAAATGAGAAATGACTTTAAACAGCAGTAAAACAAAAATACCACATATCAGAATTTGCTGCTGCTGCTAAAAGCAGAATTTAGAGGGAAAATTATAGCATTAAACATCTGTATTAAAAGACAAGAAAGGTCTCAAATCAATGATGCCAACTGCAACCTTAAGAAACTAGAAAAAGAAGAAAAAATAAAACCTAATGTAAATAGAAGAAAATTTCTTTAACACCATTACTGATAGAATCAGATAAAAAGATTACTACCAAGGCATTTCTTAGAGCACACTGACTTCCTTGTTTCTACTAGCAATTTATTTTTTTCTTCCACAATATTCTCCATATTAATCCTTGTATACTTCTTGACTTTTCCAGGTTTGTCTATTTTTGTAAACTGCATTGCCTTACAAATTATTATTTTAAATTTATTTTAACTTTATATCTTCATCTAAACCATAATTCATTACATTCTAAAAAATATCAGAACTGGTCACCAGTCATTTTCATGAAATAGTGTCCTACTACATGCTAGATATTAATCCTAATACAAATATTTCTGCAACACAGAAATTTTTATTTTCACTTGACAGATTAAAAACTGAGGCTAGGCCAGGCACAGTGGCTCACGCCTATAATCCTAGCATTTTGGGAAGTGGAGGTGGGCGGATTACCTGAGGTCAGGAGTTCAAAACCAACCTGACCAACTTGGGGAAACCCCGTCTCCACTAAAAATACAAAAATTAGCCAGGCGTGGTGGCACATGCCTGTAATCCCAGCTACTCGGGAGGCTGAGGCAGGAGAATCATTTGAACCCGGGAGGCGGAGGTTGCCGTGCTCTGAGATCATGCTAGCCTGGGCAACAAGAGCGAAACTCCGTCTCAAAAAAAAAAAACAAAAATAAACAAAAATAAAAACTAAAAACTGAGGCTAACAGAAACTAAGTAACCGCTATTAAAGGACAGAACCAGGAATTGAAACCAGTTGGTCTGACTACAAAACTGCAGAGTGTCTGGCATATAAGTGAGGCTTTCTCCCTTAAGAAATCAATGCTCGAAACACAGAAAGGGTATATTGTGAATACAGTCTATGAAGCAGAATAAAGAGCTACAAGAAAACTTATTTCATCTAGAATAAACATACCAAATCAAGTTAAGGTGCTTATCAGTGGGAACGCAGATATCTAATAGTTATTTATCTTACCCAAAATATATTAACAGGAGCACATTTATACATACATAACTGTGCCTTCATATGATATAGCCCACTGTGTTTTTGGAAAGTTCATAAATGATCAGAGAACACATTCAAAACAAATAAGTCAAATGTTTTATACATGGAAGATGGTATTTCTACCCTTAAATCTAGTTTTCATGGATGTTGCCAAACCTCCTTGATTTATTTATAGTGTTTGAACTGAAAATGATAGCCTTGCCAATTAAGTCTGACTGATTCCTCAATACAACTGAAATATGGTCCCCACTGATCCAGGAACAATTAATTCCCTCCTCCTACAGCCTCAAATGATTTGCATTTTTATTCATTATCTTTTCTTTGGGCTTTGATACAAAATATTTTTAATTTATCGATCATATATACCTCTTCTATGACCTCCAGCCTACTGTATTCTTGTTATTTGACAGTAACAATCAACATTTTTTAACAGACTGGTAAAAGATAGTGGAGAATGTACTAAGCGTAAGATGGAAAAAGTGAACAAAACTGCTGGATGAAAGGAGATAAAGAAAGAAAAGAGGAGCATGAAAACATGCCTCTTCATCATTCAGACAGAATCCTTTAAAAAGCCGATTATATTATACAAAATCAATTTGGCGCACCATAAACGCAAACTAAATGACAGTGAGTTAGCCATTTCACACTCATTAGGATGGCTAGAATCAAATAGATAATAACAAGTGTTGTGAAGGATGTGGTAAAATCAGAAACCTCATACACTGCTGATGGGAATGTAAGATAGTGTAGCTGCTTTGGAAAACAGTCTGGTAGTTCGTCAAAAATTCAACATAGATTAATTAATAAAATATTAAATATACAGCATATGACAGAGGTGCCCAATCTTTTGGTTTCTGTGGGCCGCACTGGAAGAAGAACTATCTTGGGCCCCACATAAAATACACTAACACTACCAATACCTGATGAGCTAGAAAAAAAAAAAATCGCAAAAAGCTCATAATATTTTAAGAAAGTTTACAAATTTAAGTTGGACTGCATTCAAAGTCGTCCTGGGCCACACGTGGCCCACAAGCCATGGATTGGCCAAGGTTGAGTTACCACATGACAAAGAAACTCCACTGCTAGATATATACACCCAAGGAAAACGAAAATACATGCCCACACAAAAAACTGTACATGAATCTTCACAGCAGCATTATTCGTAATACCCAAAAGGTGGAAACACTCTAAATGTCCATCAAGTGATGAATGGATAAACAAAATGTGGTACGCACAATGCAGTATTATTCGGCCATAAAAAGAATGAAGTACTGATACTTGTTACAACACGGATGATCTATAAAAATATTATGCTAAGTGAAAAAAGTCAATCATTTAAAAAAACACTATTCTATGATTCCATTTATATGAAACGTTGAGAACAGGAAAATC